TTCCAGCTCTCTGGGTCTCTTGCAATTGCCCATGCATTCACGAAGACTTGTGTATTCTTGGGGATGTGGTAACCCATGTAGTTTGAATCTTCCATTGTTCCGTGGGACCAGTAGAGGAATTGCAGGGTGTAGACGGAGTGTTTCCTTTACCACCGCCTGCAAATAAGGCAAACCGATCTATGTCACTCTCTTCAACCTTCCGGTTAGGTACAACTCGATCAATCTCTTCTTTAACATTTTTCATTGCACCTGGCCCACGAAGTAACTCTGCCATTGCCCATTCTATGGTGCTGCTTGTAGTTTCAGACCCAGCAAAAAACATTTCCTGCATCATTAGCACGTTGATTCAAGCTTGAGGATTTTAGGAAGCACGAATACTTCGTTTGATGTCACATATTTGTGTTTGGCAGATGTTTGAACCCAATATTTCTATTTTCTTTTTTTTTTTTTGGGTTTCAGAATCTAATATTTCATAAATAAAAAAAGATATATATCCTATGAATTTATGGATTGTATAATTTTTCACTTTCTCTTAATTCTAGACATATTAGCTTATCTTTATACTAAATAATGTCTATGTAAACACAAACAATAACATTTTTTAAGAATAATAAGAAATTAAAGGTATACATAACATATATTTAGGCATAAAAAAAGATAATTTGTTATTAGTTTATAGTAATTTAGTTTAATAAAAGTTAGGGATGAATCAATTTTAAAAAATTTGTGTTATTTTTGAATTTTTTTCTATTTATCTTAAAATATAATGAGTATAAATAGTAAAAGTTTTATATTATTAATGTTGTCTTTTTTGTAGAGATGTTTTAATTTTTTTAAAAAAGTTGTGTGGCTATGTCCATGTGAGTGATTGTGTTACAGGTTTTACGTTGGACAAGATGGAGAAGAGATATTAAATTATAAGAGAGGACGATATACGTTTAATAGATACATCTTTTAGAAGAGAGTAATGTACTCGTAATAAATGATATTAAAATCGATTCCGAATGATTAGTCTGATAATATTATAATTATGCGCCAATGTATCCTTATTTTAACGAGTACTTATTTGGGTGTTAAGTATTTAAATGTAAAAGAATATTACAATTTCATGTCAAAAACGATGAAAGAATATTAAATTATAAAATGAAGAACTGGATAGCCTAATAAATATGTCTTTTTAAGGAGATAGTTATGATTTTGGTGGAGCGTGCATGGTGCTTATTCTTCGTAATCACAGAGGTGCACCTTTGTGAAAGCCTTGAACCTCTGTCCCTCACAGCACACACGCACGGACGGACAAGCACAAAAATATGCACGTAGATATAGAGGCGTGTTTATTAGTTAGGATGCCAATACCAGGATGATAATTGTCACATTCCTTTCTGATAGCTTATCTGGCCCTTCTTTTCCATCGCCTTCATAGTCCAACAGCACATCCAAGAAGTCTTTATTTGCCTTTTCCATGCCTACCTGCCTCTGTTGAATCCTTTCCTTCACAAACTCAGCTACAATTTTCATGGTTCGCCCCGTCTCTTTACCATGTTCCTTTTGATTCCCTGAGGATCCAGCCACTTCAAAAATGGCAGAAAGTCTGCCACGTTAGGCTTCCCAGCCCAACTCGTGAATTTCTTCATGGCATCAAAAAACTCATGCCCTTCGTCGGATTGTGGATCCAAAAGGTCTCTTGATATCATTAGGTTTCCCATAATATTGAAAGCCATGAGGAAAGAAAGTGGCATATTTCTAGCTCGCCTGGCTCTCCTCTCATATGGGATTTTGCCACGTCTTGCTCAAATCCAGCTTACCATGTTGTCAATGCATTTCTGTCGAAGAGCGACTGACTCATTGATTCGTTTGTTGACCAGCAGTTCAACGGTGCAGATTCGCCGTATAATGCGCCAATAAGTGCCGTACTTACCAATGGCGAGTGATCCTTTGTTGTAGTCCAAGGCTGTAAGTGAATCAGGAACTTTGCGGTCAGAAAAAGTAAGGTCGTGGTTCTTGAAAAATTCTGCAGCTGCGTTGGCAGATTGTATAACCGGAGTGTTTATGGAGCCAAGCTGTAGCCAAAGAACTGGCCCATACTTGAACCTCAGCTCGTATAAGCTCTGGTGTGGCGCAGCTCCAAGGTCAAACATTGTTGCCCACTACTGGCCATCCTGCCGGCCCCGGTGGTCGCTTTTTCAGATTTCCACTGCTCGCCTTTGTCCACTGAAGGAGAAAAAGAAGAACAACTAGAAGAGTGATAGATAATGGAACTATCAAGCAGGGGACCGAACACCAACGACACTCCATTTTTGCGTGTGTAGTTGTTTGTTATGAAACTTCTACGCTGAGCCATTATATATAACAAGTTCCTCACAAGTTGTCCTCAATTATTCAAGAATTTTTTTATATTTAACATATTCCTTCTGGTGTATAAGTTACTGATTCTTTTACTAAAAACATTATTATTCAAGCATTTTTCTAGATCATTGCAAGCTTACAGTTCTTGGTAGTAAATAAATAAATCCTTCGGTGAGAGAATTCATCCACGGGGGAATCCAATACCCATAAATATAATAGAACAAATAATAAAACTCAAAACCGGGTCTCCAAGGCATGCCTTGGTAATAGTAATTACAATTTTAGGAAGCAGCCAGGGAGACCATGTGCTTGTATCAAAATAGCTTTTCGGCGTTTCTCCATGTGAATTGATTCCCCAGTAGTCAGGAGACCGCGTGCTTGTACCAAAATAGCTTTTGCAATGTCAGAACGTTGAAAAAATTATTAGAGGAGAGAAAACGGGTTTGTTTGGTTTATTTGTTATTTGTTTTTATTTTTAATGAAAGTAAAAATAGGTTAAAATGCATTTAATATGAATTTTTTTATTTTCGTCAAAATATTTTCTAAAAATGAGTTGAAAATTAAAAATTTTTAAAAGCATTTATAATATTTTTAGAAAATTTTGAAAATAAAAAAATTACATATTGAAAATCTAAATCTATTTTTTTAAAATAGAAAACCCAATATCAAGCCCAACATATTTTCTCAAATTTAAAACTTGGAAAGTAAAATTTATTTAAAAAAAATATTTGTGGAAACCAAACATGCCTTTCCTATCAATTTGGTTAAACTTCTCTTTTAGTTTTGCATTGACCCAGTCCAGAAGCTGGGCTCGGATTAAGGGGGAGTTTGCTTGGGTGGTGTGAGGTGAAATAGGTTTCAAGACTCACCGAGTTTCAACTTACTTGACAACTTCAACTCGTAAGGCCACCTTTGAACCAAATCTGGCCAAAGCCCCCTTTTCTCAATCTATTTATTAATTTGTGTATGATTTATCTGGGTCTGGAGGTTTGTTATCTTGAGAGATGCCACAAGCAAATTGAGATTATTTCCGCAATTTAAAAATGAATTTGGACACTAATTAATGGAGGATTTTTGTTTTTTCAACAGCTTAGTTGACTGTCTTGGCTTGCTATCATGAAGTTCGCTAACACTGCAGGTGTTGCCTACCAAATGACATCCTCTGTTGTGGGCTGATATGAAAGATTGTCACTCTCTTTCAAACAAAGTTCAACTATCTCGAGGATTTGGTCAACTGCTTCACGTTCATCCATTTACATTACATGGTTCTAGTGTTAGCCTTGGACGTGGAATATATATATATATATATATATATTTCATATCTTTAATACTCCGGCTAAAATGGTCTTCATAAATTGAGATGGGTTCTTATAAATTTTAATATTAAGATGGATTACAGTCAAGCACGTCGTTCAAGAAAAGAATAATTGTATGAATTATTTGGCTAGAATGTGTTTATAGGCATAAAGGAGGACTGAGCGCTCCTTCCCAGTCAAGTCAGAACACTGCTCCGCTTTGACTGGTTGGGAATCTACACAGGTGCATAGTTTCGGTTAGTTTTTGTCTTGTACTTTGGGCTTTGGCCCATTAATAACTAAAAAAAATTTAGATGCACTGTGAAAATCATACCCATGTTTGGATATGACTAATAGCAAACATTAAAAATATTTGCACTATAAGGGCTAACTTAGGAAAATTGAACTTGAAATACTCAAACAGCAAGAAAAGGAGCGTGAATTAAGAAACTTGATTTTCCAAAAAAGCAACAGAAGGTGCATAAGAAAGGCAGAGTAATGCGAAGTACAAGAAAAGGTACAAATACAATACTTTAAAATATGATATAATCCTGATTAACTCCTAGACATGTCAATTATCTTCTTCTTTTTACAATTCACTTTTTAGGTGTCCCAAAACTTGTATACTGAAATATTTACATATAATAAATTTATTTGAACTTGTCCTTATTTATTACTCTCTAAACAAAAGGAAAAAAGTGAAAAGACAACAGAAAGGAACACTTATGATCTAAGACATACCGTGACAACTAATAATATTGAACTAGAAAAATGGGCAATATCAACCATTATCCGTGCCATCCATTATTTTACTGTTAGGAGCTTGAATATCCATTAAACCAATGATATCCTAAGCGAGACTATTACTTGTAAAATTTCTTGGCCTTGATTGCATTGAGTTTTTTACATTAGATGTCAAAGGGATTGATTAACAATGTATATATACAAGAAAAAACCTTATCTTATAGACTAGTTTTTGAGTTTAGAAGATATTAAAACCCAAGTTTCGATATTTCTTAATGTAAAGAGAAAGATGGTTGAAATATCCTATATCAACTGTAAAAGAAGTTGATAAATTTTATATATATATATATATATATATATGAGAAAAATCACCATGCCCGAGACGACTGTCAACATCCATTTCTATACCAGTTACAGTAAATAAGGTGTGGTGCAGCCGAGCAGTACAGATCCGCTATATATATTAGTGATGCCCCAGTTTGTGGTACATGCGGGTATAAGTATCAGGGGCAGTGTCGCAGGGATAGTGGAGTTTGTTATTGTTGCGGCAAATTCAGACATAAGATTAAGGATTATTCGCAGCCAGACACTCATGTACCAGGGTAGTCTAACAGAGTGGTTTTAGCCTAATTGTGATCAAGCCAGCTCGAGCACAAGGATGGGGTTTGGGTGGCAGAGGACGTGACCAAACCAGGAGAGGCTAGGCATACGTATATGCCCTAACTAGACAGGATGCCCAAGCGTCTAATGCCGTGGTTATAGGTATGATCACTATATGTTCTTTTGATGCATATGCACTATTTGATCCTGGATCTACTTATTCTTGTGTGTTTCCGATTTTTGCTACTCGACTCAAGTCTCTATCTGTTCCTCTGAAGTAGCCTTTCTTTGTTGCTACTCTTATAGGGGAGCCTGTTTTAGTTCTGCAGGTGTATAAGTCCTATTCGGTACAGGTGAAAGATGGGAGTTTATGGCAAGTCTAATCATTCTAGATATATCAGATTTGACGCAATCTTGGGTATGGATTGGTTGGTTTCTTGTTATGCCACGTTGGATTGAAAAAAATTAAATTCAAAACTTTCTTTGGGTTGGGTTTTTAAAAACTTAGAGAGTTGATGGGTGAATGAATTTGAATTTTTTTTTTTTTTGTAGATTCTTTTTGGTTTTCGAAAAGCTCCAAGGGATTAATAAAAAGCCATATAAGCCCGCTTATTGCATCGGCAAACACCTCTTTAAATATCCTATTTTAATAAGAGCTTGAAAGTATCCTCACTCCACAACAACCGAAAAGAGCGTCCTACTGATTTCGATTCAAGCCTCAATCTTTTTGTGAATTTAAAATTTGCCGACTAATAAACATATCTCCATTTGCTTGTAAACGACTCAAACTTGCTTCTCTCATTTCACATAGCATGTGACTAAAGCCTACAAATAGGTGGTCTCTCTCTCTCTCTCTCTCTCTCTCTCACACACACACACACACACACGCACACACTCTGATGGGACAAAAAAAGTCAATTTCATTTTTATAGTTTATCTCAAATATGAGATATTTTAATTGTTTTATAAAAAAAATTAAAAAATAAAAAAGGGAAAATTACAAAACACCCATAACTTAACCTGAGGAAATTAAAAAATTCGATTGAAATAGAGGGAGCACATTACTATTACCACATTCTATAAGCCCTTACTTTTATTTTTTTTAAAATTTTTTTCCTGGGATCATATGTGGTGCCGTGACAAATGGGCAATCAATATAAGCCTACATACAGATTGTGGAAATGTTTTCAGCAATTCAAGATCAATCTACTAATAACTAAATTAAATAAGGGTAGGGTTTTCTGGTTTATTTATAAGTTATTTTGAATTGGAGTTTATTGAAGGAAAAAAATTTAATGGAGGAAAACTCAAATTGACCATTATTTATTTTTTATTTCCCCCAAAATAAGTTTTTTTTCCTGATCAGTACAGTAGGGTAAGAAGGCTGGGGGCACTTTTTTTTTTTTTTTGGTTAAGTAGGGTTGAAATAAAAAAAAAAAGAGACGAGAAACTCAAACTTTTAATCTATGGAGATATTGATATTTGTTAGGAGTCTGCCTCTGTCAATTAGTTAGAGATGTTTAAAATTGAACTAAATTAATAGGACCAACTTAATCCAAATCGAATCAATCAAACACTGAAATAAATATGCTTAATTTGGTTTTCAAATATTAAAATCAATCAGTTTGATTGTTGATTATTTCAAAGAAATAACTAAACCAAATCAAAGCATTATATTATATAATTTTATTCTATTTAATATAATGCAATATATATTAAATAATATATTATTTAATATACTTATATAAATATTTATTTAATAATATTACATATATAGTTAAAAATAAAAATAAAACTCTACCTAAATTCTCATTCTTAAGTGCTATTCTAAAGAATTTTTAAATTATATTTAGAATATTTGGTATTAAAAAATATTAGTATTGTAGGAAACTAAAATAACTTAGTAATGTTTTCAATGAATTTTTTTATTTTTTAAATAAATATAATTTAAATTAATTTTTATCTTGAAAAATTTTCAAAACTAATTATATTAAATTAGACCAAACCGATATAATTATGTCAGGTTTAGTTTAATTTTAAAATATTCTGAAAATTAATCATATTCAAATTTATTAAAAATTTAAAATTTTAATTTGGTTTAAATAATATCAAAAAAAAAAAAGAATCAACCCAAACCCGTGAAAGCCCCATAAACTGGGCGGCTAAAAAAAAGAAAAGAAAAGAAAAGAAAAGTTGAAAAATACTGAAGCAATGGAGTTTTATGCACTGAATGCACAGGGCTATCCCTCCTAAGCTGAAAATTTGGTACCGGCCCATGAGGAAATGGCAAGATGGAGCCAAAAGGCCCAAATGAAGGCCCATAATATGTAGGCCATTACCCTTGCGCAGGGCCTGCATGCGGATGCGGGTGATGAAGGTTGGGTTCACAGTTTATGTACGTTTAAAAAGTTAAAAAGAATGTAAGACTTAACTCAAAGGTTAGAATATTATAAGATTTATGTAGAAAGCATGGGTTTGATTGTTGAATTTGACTCTTTTCCCTCTCTTATCTTAGACTTATATCTCTAACATAATGAAAAAAAGTTAAAGAGGAGAAAACAAAATTAAAGAACTTATCGAGGATGAGAAAACAAGAGTAACTTTTCTTTTTCTCTTTTTTCTTTTTTCCAAGCAAACATAAACAGAAATTTTATGACAGTGTTAGCCAACATTTTAGAAGCTCCAAAAAAAAATTTATCACAGATGTTTTGTTTTAAAAAAATTCTACAAATATAAATTAACAACATTAATATTACCAAACAAGTCGTAATTTTATTTAAAATATTTGTATTACTTTGGCGGTGGGAGGTGAAATAGGTTTCGAGACACATTAAGTTTCAACTTGATTGTCAACTTAAACTCATAAGACCACTATTGAAGCCAAATCTGGCTAAAACCCTCTTTCCTCAATCTCTTTATTAATTTAATCAAATAATCAAATCTAAACCTCCTTTTCTCAAACTATTTATTAATTTATGCAGAGAATTTTAAAATCATCTCTTAAGTTTTAACATTTCAGTAAAATTATTCTGAAATTTAGAACTTTAAGAATAATTTTGCAATGCAAATGAAACTTGAGGGATGATTTTGAAATTTTCCCTTAATTTATGTTACAGATAGCTGGGTCCCAAGGTTTATTACATTGAGATATGCCACCGGTAAATTGAGATTATTGCCGCAATTTAAAAATGAATTTGAACATTAATTAATAAAGGATTTTTGTTTTTTAAAGGGCTTAGTTGACTGTTTTGTCTTGCTAACGTGAAAGTTTGCTAACACTACAGATGTTGCCTGCCAAATTACAGCCTATGAAAGATTGTAAGGTGCGTTCCTTTCTCATACCATAAGTGTATATTTTTAAAATTAAAGTAGATCTTTGAGATATGTTATTTTAAAAATATTTGAGACATTATTTTTAGTATGTATTATATATATTTTTAAGATATATTTTTGAAATTATATTTTTTATATATTATTTTTGAGATAAATGTTTATATAAAAAAATTAGCATATTAAATGTTGATACGAATAAGAGGATAAATTAATAAACTAGTATAGAAATTAAAGTAACAAAATTAAGAGATGAATGACTAATATACACACATGTACATGAATGTGTTTTTTTTTTTTTTTTTTGTGAATGTGTGAAGATAAGTGTATATGTATATATGTATGTATAGATGCACACACATATACACGTGTATCTGTGTATATTTATAGTTACACTTGTGTGAGAAAATAAGGAAGATTTTATTATTGTAAAATCAAAGCAAGTATTTTTAAGACTGAGTATAACTTTAGGATTATGCTCAATTTAGAAGTATATATACTACATTTTATAATATGTGTTTCTAAATTATAATTTAAAAGAATAGCAATTTTAAAATTTTAGACTAAAAAATAGAGATGTGTGCCTCTAAAACTGTAAGAGAATGTTGCCGCCTAACTCTTTTTCAAATAAAGTTAAACTGTCTGGATTCACATTCATCCATTTACATTACATGATTCTGGTGCAAGCCTTGAACGTGAAATAGATATATTTCAAACCTTCAATACTTCAGGGTAAAATAGTCTTCATAAATTGAGATGGGTTTTAATAGATTTTACACTGGGAAGTGTTATGAATGCAGCCACTCCAGATGCATTAGCCATTATTAGTTCCTCCAAATGCTTGTTGCCCCTATGTTCATATAGTTAAAAGAGTTCATTTAAACTAAACTGCAAAATTTAAATGCACTGTGAAAATCATATCCATGTTTTGACTTGATAATGACAAACATTAAAAATATTTGCACTACGAGGGATAACTCAGGAAAATTGAACTTGATATACTCAAATAGCAACAAAAGGTGCATAAATTAAGAAACTTGACTTACGAAAAAAGCAAAGAAGGTGTATTAACAAAGGCAAATTAACGCTGAGTGCAAGAGCAGGTAGGAATACAGCACTTAAAAGCACGATAGAATTCTGATCAATTCCTAGACATGGCAATTACCTCCTTCCTCCAATTCGCTTTTTGGGTATCACCTTTATAGGTATTAGCTTTCTCACTGATATCCCCACACTTTCACGCATGTCCATGGTTTCTGGAGTCACAGACCCGCTGAGCTCCCAGTTGAAAGACTGCAGCAGGGTGGCCAGCGCGAGGTGAAGCACTCGGTGAGCCAAGGAGTAGCCGATACAACTCCTTCTCCCAGAACCAAAAGGAATCAACTCAAAGTGCTGCCCTTTATACTCAATGTCTTTGCCAAGAAACCTCTCAGGCTTGAAAGAGAGGGGGTCATTCCAGCTCTCTGGGTCTCTTGCAATTGCCCATGCATTCACGAAGACTTGTGTATTCTTGGGGATGTGGTAACCCATGTAGTTTGAATCTTCCATTGAGTTCCGTGGGACCAGTAGAGGAATTGCAGGGTGTAGACGGAGTGTTTCCTTTACCACCGCCTGCAAATAAGGCAACCGATCTATGTCACTCTTTTCAACCTTCCGGTTAGGTACAACTCGATCAATCTCTTCTTTAACATTTTTCATTGCACCTGGCCCACGAAGTAACTCTGCCATTGCCCATTCTATGGTGCTGCTTGTAGTTTCAGACCCAGCAAAAAACATTTCCTGCATCATTAGCACGTTGATTCAAGCTTGAGGATTTTAGGAAGCACGAATACTTCGTTTGATGTCACATATTTGTGTTTGACAGATGTTTGAACCCAATATTTCTATTTTCTTTTTTTTCTTTTGGGTTTCAGAATCCAATATTTCATAAATAAAAAAAGACATATATCCTATGAATTTATGGATTGTATAAATTTTTCACTTTCTCTTAATTCTAGACATATTAGCTTATCTTTATACTAAATAATGTCTATGCAAACACAACAATAACATTTTTTAAGAATAATAAGAAATTAAAGATATACATAACATATATTTAGGCATAAAAAAAGAGAATTTGTTATTAGTTTATAGTAATTTAGTTTATATAAAGTTAGGGATGAATCAATTTTAAAAAATTTGTGTTATTTTTGAATTTTTTTGCTATTTATCTTAAAATATAATGAGTATAAATACTAAAAGTTTTATATTATTAGTGTTGTCTTTTTTGTAGGGATGTTTTAATTTTTTTTAAAAAGTTGTGTGGCTATGCCTATGTGAGTGATTGTGTTACAAGTTTTACGTTGGACAAGATGGAGAAGAGATATTAGATTATAAGAGAGGACGATATACACTTTAGTAGATACATCTTTTTAGGAAGAGAGTAATGTGCTTGTAATAAATGATATTAAAATCGATTTCGAATGATTAGTCTGATAATATTATAATTATGAGTCAGCGTGTCCTTATTTTGATGAGTACCTATTTGGGTGTTAAGTATTTAAATGTGAAGAATATTACAAATCTCATGTCAAAAATGACGAAGAAAGAATATTAAATTATAAAATGAAGAATTGGATAGCCTAATAAATGTCTTTTTAAGGAGATAGTTATGATTTTGGTGTCAAAGGGATTGATTAGCAATGTATATATACAAGAAAAAACCTTATCTTATAGACTAGTTTTTGAGTTTAGAAGATATTAAAACCCATGTTTCGATATTTCTTAATGTAAAGAGAAAGATGGTTGAAATATCCTATATCAACTGTAAAAGAAGTTGATAATATATATATATATATATATATGAGAAAAATCACCATGTCTGAGATGACTGTCAGCAGTCATTTCTACACCAGTTACAGTGAACAGGGTGTGGTGTAGCCCGAGCAGTACAGATCCGCTACATATATTAGTGATGCCCCAGTTTATGGTACATACGGGTATAAGCATCAGGGGCAGTGTCGCAGGGATAGTGGAGCTTGTTATCGTTGCGGCAAGTTCTGACATAAGATTAAGGATTATCCGCAGCTAGATACTCATGTTCTAGGGTAGTCTAACAGAGTGGTTTCAGCCTAATCGTGATCAGCCAGCTCGAGCACAGGGATGAGGTTCAGGTGGTAGAGGACGCGACCAAATCGGGAGAGGCCAGGCATACGTATATGCCCTAACTAGACAGGATGCTCAAGCGTCTAACGCCGTGGTTGTAGGTATGATCACTATATGTTCTTTTGATGCATATGCACTATTTGATCTTGGATCTACTCATTCTTGTGTGTCTCCGATTTTTGCTACTAGATTCGAGTCTCTATCTGTTCCTTTGGAGTAGCTTTTCTTTGTCGCTACTCCCGTAGGAGAGTCTGTTTTAGTTCTGCAGGTGTATAAGTCCTATTCGGTAGAGGTGAAAGATGGGGAGTTTATGGCAAATCTAATCATTCTAGATATATCAATTTTGATGTAATCTTAGGCATAGACTGGTTGGTTTCTTGTTATGTCACATTAGATTGAAAAAAATTAAATTCAAAACTTTCTTTGGGTTGGTTTTTAAAAACTTAGAGAGTTGATGAGTGAATGGATTTGAATTTTTTTTTTTTGTAGATTCTTTTTGGTTTTCGAAAAGCTCCAAGGGATTTATAGAAAGCCATATAAGTCCAGCTTATTGCATCGACAAACACCTCTTTAAATATCCTATTTTAATTAGAGCTTGAAAGTATCCTTACTCCACAACAACCGAAAAGAGGGGAGTAGGTAGCGTCCCATTGATTTCGATTCAAGCCTCAATCTTTTTATGAATTTAAAACTTGCTGCTTAATAAACATATCTTTATTTGCTTGTAAAAGACTCAAACTTGCTTCTCTCATTTCCCATAGCATGTGAGTAAAGCCTACAAATAGGTGGTCTCTCTCTCTCTCTCTCTTTTACACACACACACACACACGCACACTCTGATGGGACAAAAAAAGTCAATTTATTTTTATAGTTTAGTCTCAAAAAATGAGATTTTTGAAGGGATAATTACTAAAAAGGTAAATTAAAAAATAATAATTACCCTTAAGGCCATATCTCAAAAATATTTCCAAAACAACCCCTGAAGGATAAATAATTCCGAAAAGGATATATTCCAAAAATATTCCCACTTAAGGTATTTTCTAATACCCAAAATACCCCCTCCCAATACCCAAAATACCCCCTCCCACCCGGTGCTCATCCTTCCCGCTCCATCAACGTTCTTCGGCGATCCCACCTTCCTCCAGCTCCATCAACGTTTTTTCTCCTCCTCCTTCCTGTGTCGCTCTCGAACCAAGCTTAACCTTTGATTTCTTTCCCCATCCTCCTCTAGCCCGATGGTCATCCCTCTTGTTCGTCGATCTTCCCTCCAGCTTGCTTCGCGATCCCACCCCACCGACCCTCGCCTTTTCTTCTCCTTCTCTTTCTCCTCTTCCTTCTTGCGTCAATCTCGAACCAAGTTTAACCTTTGATTTCTTTCCCCATCCTCCTCCCCATCCTCCTCGCCCTTCTCCTCCTTCTTATTCTCATGCTTCTTCTTGGTGCTGAGATGCCCTCTGAAGACTCTCCATGCCGCCAATCCAAGCTTCTCCTACCCAGCCAAAGCCCTTCATGTCGGCCGAAGGAAGCTTCTCCTACCCACGCAAAGGTATTTATGCCGTGTGATTCAAGCTTCGTTCAGCTTCTTCTTCATCTTCCTTCATGTTCTTGCTGCTTAGATGTAGTTTTGTACACAGTCTAGTAACTATACATGATTGCTAGACAGATGATCGATTGTAAATTAACGGATGTCGAGTTGGTTTTATGAATGCAGGATGATTGTAATAAGATAGATGCTTGATTGTGCAATTACAGTTTGAAAATTGTGAAATGACATGTGTATGAATGTAAAATGGAAGAAATGTATTTCAAATAATGGATGCATGATTGTAACAAAAGGGAAGCAGATACGTGATTGTAAATGTACTATTAGTTGAGTGTAAAATTACAGAATGCATACGACAAATGCCTAATTGTGCAAATAATACAGTTTGAAAATTGTGAAATGACATATGTATGAATGTAAAATGGAAGAAATGTATTTCAAATAATGGATGCATGATTGTAACAAAAGGGAAGCAGATACGTGATTGTAAATGTACTGATAGTTGAGTGTAAAATTATAGAATGCAAAAAGGAAGCTCATTGCACGCAACTTAACAAAAATGTAATTGTAATATACCTGCATGAATGTTTCAAATAACAGTTGCTTGTTTGATGGAAAAGTGGAAATAGACAACTGAATGTAATAGTACAGATGGACATCTATAAAATAACAGATGGCCAAGTAGAAAATCAGTCCATGAATTTGAAGAGACAGATGCCAGTGTGCATCTACAGAATAGCATTAAAAAGTGACACATGCATGAATGTAAATTGGCATATCGTTGACATAAATAGCAGTTTTGTGTTTGATGCAAAAATGGAAACAGATACTGTAAAACTACAGATGGCCAACTGCAAAACAACAGATAAAAGCTTGGAATGTGATAGATGGAGGACTGTAACATAACAGATGGTTGAATATAAAAACAGGCCTTAAATGTGAAGAGACAGATGCTTGAGTACATATAAAGATTAGTGAATAAAAATTGACATGTGCTTGAATACAAAATGGAAATAGATATCAGATTGAAAGTATACCATAAGGAGACTGTAAAGAACCTGATGAAGACATGGGACTGGACAGATTCTCAACTGTAACATAACAGATGGCTGTGGTATCATTTACAGAATAGTTTCAGAAATTCACACATAACGGTGACTGAAATAACAGTGGCATGATTAATGCAAAAATGGAACATGAAAGTTGCATGATTAAATGTAATGTGGCATAATTAATACAAATGACCGATTGTAAAGGAACAGAAGGATGATTGGAACTTGACAGATTCTGGTTTATCAAATAGCAGATGGATGACTGTAACGCAACAGATGGACATGTATAAAAAGTCCTTGACTCTGAAGAGACAGATGCCTGAATTGCATTTACATAGTAGAGATAATAATATGACAAATGCGCGCAAAAATGGAAAGAGATATCCAATAGCAATCATACAGATATGCGATTGTAAAACAACAGAAGAACGCTTGGAACACGGCAGGTTTTCGACTGTCAAATTACAGATGGATGACTGTAACATAACAGTCGGGAAAATAGAAAACTTTCCATGTATGAATGTAAAGTGGTGTTTGGAATTTAATAGATTCTAGACTGTTAAAATTAAGAGTTGCATGTTCCATGATTCTAAAGCAACTGATGGACAATGTAAATTTGACTGACTCGTGACTGTCAATTTTTGGAATATTGATTAGAACATGACATATGGATGAATGTGATCTGGAATGATTGGTGCAAAAGTGGAAAGACAACCAAAAGTATATAATTGATGGTGTCTATAAAGCAACAGATAAAGTTTGGAGCTTTACAGATACAAGGCTGTCAAATGACAAATGAACGTCTGACAAATACTTCCTTGACTTGAACACAAATTAGAAGATATAGTCCTGTAACAATACTGATGGGATTGTAAAACAATTGATTGATATTTGAAACGTGACGGATTTGAGTCTGTCATGTAACAGATGGGAGTCTGTAATGTAACAGATGTCTAGTATATAATACATTCCACATATTTGAAGTGGGAGATTCCTTTCTTTGAAATTAAAGAATAGCTAAAATTTTGTAGAAACAA